TTCTCCTCGCACGCTATGCAAACAGAAATATTGTATGTTCAAATCTGGAGTAATGTGGAAAGTCCAAGGGATCATTTTACAGACCTGATTTATTCCGGTTTAAAATATTCATATTTGCAGATGACAGAGAAATGAGGATTAGAAGACGGCCGGTTCAGTTTGTACTATTGTTAGATTATGAGCAGAGGAGGATGAGTGTGATTAATCATAGCTTCAAGGGATTTATAAAGGACTATATATTGTCTAGAACTGCCAAAAGTTTTATTTTAAGTTTAGGGCTCATCTGAATGTGTTTGATGGTGGTGAAATAATAATTGAAAGCTTACTTGTCAGCGGATGTCTTGTAATTTGCTTCGGATAAGAGCTTGTGTTAAAATGACCACTCAGTGATTATATTTTTGTGGAAACCATGATACATGTTTTTCAGGATTATTTGATGAATAGAAATTTCAAAAGAACAGCATTTATGTGAAATAGAAACTTTTTGTGTCATTATGTCTTTACTATGACTTTTGATCAGTTTAATGCATCCTTGCTGAATAAAAGTAATTTCTTCAGTTAAAAAAAAAAAAGATGCCAAACTTTTGAACAGTAGTGCACAGGAGCGGCATGCTAATTTCATTTTACATGCATTTTTGAATATAAGCCATAATTTAATAATCTCATTTGCATGCAAATGCACATTTACATGCAAAGTACATGCATAATCACTAAAAATGAATGATTTCATGAAAAAGATGTGACTCATAATGCAGAGTGAGAATTCAGGCCCATCTGTCTCATTAAAACAATTAGTTATTTTTATTAAATTAAAATGTGATTTTTTGATACACAGAGTGCAAATTTAATGCTCCATGTTGCATTTGTTTATTAAAAAATAATTATGTCTCCTGGATTCCCCATGTTACGTTATATGGCTACTAAAGTTAAATGTCATAAAGATAATTGTCATAAAAGGAAGTTCAAAAGAACAGCATTTATTTGAAATAGAAATTTTTGTAACATTATAAATGTCTTTACTGTCACTTTTAGTCAATTGAATGCATCCTTGCTGAACATATTTCGCTTAAAGCAAAACTTAAAGCATGTTACCCTGCACCAAAGTTTCCCTGAGAAAAAAAGTACCCATAATTCTCTCTGTTATGCAATGCGTCCTCTGGAGCTCTGTGTTCAGCTGTTTGCTCGACTCCAGAAGCGTTTTGTTTTGCAGTATTCTCTGTGGCTCTTGTGTTTGCTGTGCTGATTCTGTCTGGTCGCTCTCACAGCCAAATCTCCACACAGCCTGGAGAGCCTTCTGCACGGCTGTCTCTCTCTCTCTCTCTCTCTCTCTCTCTCTCTCTCTCTCTCTCTTTCTCTCTTTCTCTCTCTCTCTGTCTTGTTTTCCCATGATGATTTAAATCTGTGTGTGTACGCTAGTCTCTTCATGTTTGACTCTAAACTCGTGTCAGTTCCAGACATTCATCTTCCTGAGTTCACACTCACTTTGCCCACATTTTCTCCACCTGCTTGTACAAGTTTCCTCGGATCGCTGTGGGAAAAATGTGTATTAGCGCATGTATAACAAGGAAGAATCACAGATTAGACTGATATATGAATCTGACTGGTATAATAAATCAGTGCGGCGTTTCCTGCACATTTAGAAATGGAATGAAATAATACTATTCTTAAAGTGATGATGTAATGTCAGCTTTTGAATAAATTATGCTTTATTCATTCCGTTGCGCACACACACACGATGAGTGGAAAAACTTTTAACCCTCAAAATGAACTAAAAATATCACTTCAGTTAAAATTCACTGAATATAACAAAAACAATTGTTGTTATAAACACTCTAATAACAAGAATTAACAATGAACATGGCAGTGCATCATGGGAAAGTGGCTGATGCTGCCATATTAATATGTGTGTATACTGTGTATATTTTTATAGAAATATTTTAAAAATATAGTAGATTAATAATTAATTTTAATTTTCATATTTGGGTCAAAGACGAAAAAGGGTTTAAGCATAAAAACAATAAGTGTAATACTGCTTTAAATTGTTGAAAAAATTAATATCATACATTTTCCCCTGATTTACAGAAGAGGCCCATTAAAATGTCATTCAGTGTAACAATCTTGTCAGGCATATTTACAACAAAAATCAATTTATGACATATTAAAAGACTAATTACTTTCACCCCAAATACTAATTAGTTGTAATTTTACATTTTTTACTTATCTTTACTTACATTTAATGTGCTTTCTATGAACATAAAATCACTTTTATAAATTTATTTTGATGTGGATATCTTAATGTCTTTGACCCATTTACATTTGTATTTTAGATTTATATATTATGACTTATTATTTATTTATATTATTTATTCATTTATATATGATATAATATTGATATTATTTCTAACTTGTGTATTTTTAACTTTGTCAGTCTTTTTGACTGATTCATATGAGTCATTTGTTCATGAATTAGATTACACTACATTTTTTATTTTATTAAATTAATAATTTTTGTAATAATAATAATAAAGCCTTTTTGTTAATGTTTGTGAATCTTTTTGAGTGATTCATAAGTAATTTGATCGTGAATCAGATTACACTATAATTGATGTGTGTGTAGCTGATGCCACGATATTTTAGTATTTCATTAGGATAACATTTATCAAATTAATAATAATAAAGCTTTTCTTTTTAAGTTAATAAAGCTGTTTATGTTTATCTTCAACTATATGCCATATAAACATCCAATCTGATTCAAACCGGGGATTTGTAAGTTTGTGAGTTTATTTTTGACAGATTCAAAAGAGTCATTTGTTCATGAATCAGATTATACTGATCATAACTGAAAGGATTGTGTGTGTTTTTGTGCATGTGGAAATGAGAGAGAAACGCTCACAAATTATAGTAATTATGGACAAGTGGATTATTGTTTTGCAGTGAGCACATATTGTAAAGTCAGTAAAACACGAAATTACCTTTTCAGATGGTAAGGGAATTTTTCTGTCTCGTAGTGTGTGTGTGTGTGTGTGTGTGTGAGTGTACAGGTGCTGGTCATTGTGCCCTCATTCAATTGGACAGTTTTGGCGTCCGCTCAGGTTCTGACTCAACTCTCTCCTCCCAGACTGTGACCCACTTCACCGTGTGTGTGTGTGTGTGTATATGTGTGTTTCCTGTCCTATTGCAACAGGTGTTTCATCCCTTTTCCATACTGTATTCATTATTTTTCCAAAAACCATGGTTATTGAATAAAAGGTTACAGCTGTTTCTCTCCTGTTTCTATGCGTGTTTTGAATTTTGGATGAATTTGACATAATGCTGTCTTGACTTCCTGGTTCATATGAAGACTCATCCTATTTGTGTGATTATTGTAGATGTTTCTTCATGCATTAGTATACAATTCAATGGTAGGTTTGGCAAACCAAGAACTGTTAACAGTTCTTGGACGTCTGCATTTTTCCAAACACTTACGAATCAGTCTGAGCAGTTACTGAAGTAATCTGACTCACTTACTCAACCGCTATATAAAATG